CTTTCAAGGACAGCTGAGGTAAATACACCATTTATGACCTGTAAATGTAGATGGTGTTATGTTTTCATATGCCAATAGCAGAACAGACTAATGCTACAAGAATAGAAAAGAAATAGCTCCTGTAAGAGAGCACAGTGGGTCTCTCTTTTCTAAAAGCAGACTGCAGCAATTTTGAGAACAATGGGAATGGGGTAAGTGACCTCTAATCATTGAGCTGTTTCTTCTTGAGTGGCTATGATTTTGCAATTACTAAATTATAATTATTGTACCAGGAATATTTATCACAGTCATTCTGGCATTCTTAGGGCAACTAAGAGGCACTAAAGATTGAGGCACTGCATTAATATCACAGTTTTGCATGTATGACTTCCACGTAATATATAGCAGAAGGGAGAGTATATGCATAGAATTTCTTAGGGATGTGAAAGGCTAACCTGTAAGCCTCACCCGTCCGGTTCTGGTTAACCAGTAGGGGCTAGAGCACTTTCCCGCCTGCTATGAGCAGCCGCCTGCTCCAGCCCCACAGGGCCTGCCACAGACAGGGACTGCTCCAGCCTGGCTAGAGCAGCCCCGCCTATGGTGATGGAGGGCACTCCAGTCAGGCCACAGCAGGTGGGGGGGCCACTTCAACCAGGCTTGAGTTCCCCTCCCCGCTTTAATCAGTTAACCTGTTAAACACTACATTTAACTGGTTATCCAATTAAACTGGATGTTACATCCCTGACATGTAAAATACAGATACTTTGATGGACAGACGATATCCACTTTTTTTGCATCTCTAACTGCTGTCCTCTGCTGCTGGATTTAAATGGTTTCAGTCCCCTAATAATAGGGATGGTCAATTTTCTTTAAAAATCTTTGAGTTTTTCTTTAAAAAAAAAATTGGGGGGGAGGGGAGGCAGGGGCTCATGATCCCAAATCTCCACTCAGATCCAGGCTCTGCAACCAGACTATAGCTCCCCTGAGGTGCTACAGACAGGAACCCCCACAATGCACTGCAGCAGCTCACTGAAGAAGGGAGGCGAGGCCATGGTGCAACATGGATGACATAGTCCAGCCAGGGATCTTTTTATATATATGAGGCATCCAAACTACACTTCCATTAGGCACCACAGTGTATTCTATCAAAAAATCTCCATCATTTTCAAATTGAAGTGTTTGGGAGTTTAGACATTTGCTGGTTTAGATTTTTCATTAAAATCTCAAAAAATTGGTGTGCAGGAAAAAAAAATCTGATTGACTCTTAAAAAGGATCATCCTGCACAAAGGACAGGAAAGGACTACAATTCAGAAGCAGTGGAACTTCTACCACTGCCTATTGATGAAGGACGACAAGCAACAAACAAAGAAAAAAAAAAAACCATCACAACTATTTAATCAGTCTTCCACTCATGGGCCCAAATTCCATTTTCACACAGCCCTAACAAAAACAGGACATCACAGTTAAGTTCTTATTGTATTGCTTGTTATTTAGTGGAGATGTGAATTTTGAGCTGGAACAGCTCCCTGCCTGCCAAGGGACAGAGGCTGCTTTAGCATCCTTGTCGGAGCAGCCTCTGTCAGCTGCGGGCCTGGGCCTGATACAGGCAGGGGTCACTCTGACAAGGCTGGAGCGGGCCCTGCTGGTGGGGGGTAGGGGGAGCAGAGGGCTGCTCCAGCCCAAAGGCAGGCAGGAGGACCAATCCAGCCAAGCTGGAGTGACTCCCCCACCCCCACTTTAAATTGATTAACCAATATGTTTAACCGCTTAACCAATTAAATGGGATTTTATATCCTAATCATCTAGTAGATTGACCTGTTGACAGATCTAAAGTCAAATGTCTTACAACAGAGTATTTAAGGTCAAATTCTCCCCTTTTAGCACAGGGGAGATACAGATCTATGCAAAAATGGGACACGAGTTATGAAGAGGGCAATTGTAGGCACCTGGCAAAAAAATTTCCATAAGAGGCTGTGTGTGTAATGGATCAAAAACCTGGGGGTAGCTATGCTCTTTGGGATGGGAGTCTAGAGTCTGAAGCAAATTCCTAGAGTTCAATGCTCATCTGTTCTACACTGACTCTCCAAAATGTGTAACCATAATAAAGGAAGGAAATGGTACCATGTGTGATCCTTTTGTGCTATTTTGGAGGAAGACAGTGGGTTCCTGATCCACCAAGCTCCCCACATTCAGTCACACATCCATCTACAGGATTTGGTGTGGAGTTTCTTGTAGATTCCTTAACTGAAACACCAGAGGTATCAATCTATGGAGGTGTTTGCAAGTAGCTTTCAAATCCACAGCAGGAGAGTCTCCCTAATGGAGTTTATTGGTTCTAGTGGATTTACATCTTCATGAATTCTACCCTTGGAATCTAGATTTAGCTTTGATCATCATTTGTCAATATTGCTCGGGATGCTCCGTGGACATAGATACATGTTTTCAATCAAATTTCTCCCCCATCTAATGCAGTGGAAGCAAAATAATTTAAATCCCTTCTAAAGTAATCAACATTAGTGCAAATTAATTAGATCTTAAAGAGGTATGGAAGAGTGACTCAGAGCACCTGAGGGGACTGAATGTTAACAGTCTGGAATACAGAGGACTATATCCTGCATTGCAGGTTAATGGATTTTCACTTTCTGCATCTTCATTGTGATCGGATTTAACTCCTCCACATAATATTTGAAAAAACTTCCATTGCACTTCCTCTCTGAACATATCATAGTGCTTAACTGTAATTAGCAGAGAAATCCCCTTCCCTGTGCAAGCCCAAGTGACTCTTTGTAAAAAGAGGTTACTATAGCAATCTATGAGGTTTAGAGGGGGCAGGAGAATCCACCATATTCCTCCACCAAACTCAATAGGGGAAGGGGGGGGGGGGGCTTTGCCAGCAGATATACAAGTCACTGATACATTGTCCCTGTCTTTACACCCAAAGCCATCCGTTCTAGCATATAGAGAACACTCACAGCATATTGGGTTCGGATACTCTGAGGACATTTAGCATCCTCAGTGATCTTCTCTTCATGCACTGCAAAAACAAACCTGTGCTACTTCACTCAGGATCACCCCTGTCTTCTTCCCCGGGATGCAAGACATAGAAGAGATGCATTATTCCCTGGGAGAAACTGAGGCATGAAGCAGTTAAGCCCCTTTCCCCAAGCTCTGTGACAAATAGGACCCAGATGCCCTGCATCTCAGCCTGCTATGCTGGCCACTGAAACTTGCTTCTGTTAATTGAACAGTGTAATCTAACTAATGTTTGCAACAAAAATAGTTATTTCCTCTTTCTGTAATGTTAATGCTTAAAGTGCTAGGAAATATAATTTTATTGTTAACCTTAAAGTATATCATAAAAAGATATCAGTAATAGCAGCAGACAACCTTAGCAAATATGTTGGATGGTCCTTGCTTCCTGGCTTTAGGAATTAGGATGAAAATAAATTCCCTGCAGGGAAATTGTATATATCCCCTGTGTGTATTGGTGGGAAGTGAATAAGCCTGAATGATGTTGATTTCGTAGTGGCTTTGAATGCAGTCGCCTTGAAGTAGTTTGATATGCAGAGTGCTAATTAGGGCTCAGTGAGTGAATTCTGCTTGTTCTTGCACCTGTTGCTTGTTATTCAACAGGACTGTTTAGCTTCCTAATCTAAGTTTTCATTATAGAAACAACTCTTTCCACTGCTATTTGCACAGTTAAACTGAAGTTCATACAACTGTGTGCAACAGGACTTTTAACTCCTGCTTGTTGTTTTGTTTGTCCTCCCCTCCCCTTCAACCTTTCGTTTTCAAGAGATGAGCGGTTAATTTTGTCCTCTAAAATCCACCAGAAATAAAGTTATATAACCACGTCCACAAACCTGTTCTAAAAATAGGAATCGCTCAGCCAAATGGCATTGCAATTTCTTTTCTAAGACCTGTGACTCCAATTTTGTAAGTCCCATGGAAATGCAAATATCTCCGTTGCTTTATCAGACAGTCAAGCAGGATCTCACTGCGAGACAGACATGGGTTTGTATTAGTATAATCCTCATTTGGGGGGGGGGTGCATTTTTTTTATATATTTCTAACTCATGACTATTAAAATACTTATTTGTTCTTTGAGCTGATCCCTCATGGGGTTTCATAATCACAAACCATAATTAACCCAAAGCAAAGGAAAAAAAGGTACAAAGAGAGGCAGGTTCCAGTTAGGGATTTTCCTGTATGATACTTAAGCTCAAAGGATTTTTATGTTTTTAGCCAGTCACTTATCTTAGAATGCTGTTCAAAACAAAACCTAGATCTACAGACTCCTGATAGCTTGCTCCTACTAATTTAGCCACATGCCTCATGAGAGCTGCCCACATTAAGGCCAGACGAGCACAATATTGTGAACACATCCAGCTATTGCTTTACAATGGGAAGGCTGCTCCTTTGCTTTGCATTGGGGAGCATTTCTAATGGAACGTGCTAAACCACGTTCCGTTTGCACGAGAACTTTGACACACAGAGAATCACTTTAAAATGGGGGGGGGGGGGGGGAAAACCGGCTCACCCCTT